ATAATCACGGGTTTTCTTGCATGGTATAAACATTTGTATTCGTGAGTATGATTATTGATATAAGTTTGGATGTACAAAAAAATCTCAGTATTTATATCAGTTATCTAGTTTATCAGAAGCTCTGCGTAGTTTGGGCTGTGTCAATTGTGCACTGTTTTTATTATTATTTGTATGAGTCGCTTGTTAACAAAGCCGTCTCTTTATTTGCGATCTAAACCCAAAAGCGTCTCTGTTACATTGTCAATAAATTCCAGAATCGGCAATACTTAAGTGTCATGTTGTGCCATGCACAAATTAGTAGGCATAATTCGCCGTCTCCATGGTTTTACTCATATTCCGGCGATGTGTGCCCAGAAGAATACAACTACCATCTTTGAAATACAATTTGCGCTTATTCAAGGGGCCTGAGAAGGAGACAACCCTAGCCATCATAATAGTCAGGACAGCTATGATGCTAGTCTTTGTTAATCATGTACCTAGTTGATGTAAAAAATATAAATTCTTAATCACTTATCTATCACCATTATTTTAATTAATAGGTAGGTACTGCCTAATGGTATGTACTGGCTACTGCTAGTAGAGGATAATACAATGAGTTTGAAGTCAGTTCATTTACATAGCCCAACGTGGCTAATTCACCATGATGATGTCTTGGAAAAATGTATTTAAGGTAAATTGCTAAAGCGTTGGGTCTAATGATTCCATTAGATCCAATGGGGTCGAATTAATTATTAGGAATGTCTAATAACCCTATCCCCCCAATCACTTACCATCAGTTAGCTCATTATTGGCGCAAGTATAGAAAAACTATCGACCGTTAGCTGTTGAAATACTTAAAGAAGAGTAGATATGTGCGTTGTATTTTATACAGAAGCGTAGCGTGCCTTGGCGGGGCCCCATGTAAAAATTTACCTAATTAATGGGGCCCTTACGAAGGCTAAAGATTTCTCACAAAAGAAAAAAAAATGCATAAAATTAAAAGATATATTTATTCATCATAATTATGTATTATTCCATAAACAAACAATTAACATTAAATATAGGTACACTTCCCTTGCCTTTTTTCGGCAAACTCATTTATAGCCGATGCGGGAAAAAAAATATTTTTTTCTTTTGTCATTTGTGAAATAAAAAAAAAATTGGGTACTTAATGTTTGTTTTCGCATGTACAGGGCCCGTAGCCCGTGGGCCCGTATAATTAATACACTAGATACGGCTAGCTACCGAGCTACGCCCCTGTTTTTAGGTATATCTACATTTACACAACGATATCTTCGTTGTAGGTTACCTATGCGTTTCGGTATGTCGATACCGATTCTTTGCGCAACCGTCCACTGATTAACATTACGCCACTCATGCGAAGTGCATGTCAATTACAATTAAAATGAAGGGAAAAAATTATATATATCATCTATACGTCACATTTAGTGCACATTGTGCAAATGGATAAACTGGTACTATGCGCCCATAAAATTTTATTACCATTTGGAGCGTGAGTAGTATGAGTAGTACCTACCTATTGTGTATACATAAACGTAAAGTATATACGCTAGTATATTATATTATATGGGTTCACCATTTTTATGTATATCATTTGATTTTTTTTGCCGTTGAACATCAAATAGAATGTTATGATAATGATAATGAATGCCTTTTTTGTTGGTGATCATCATCAGGTCGAATGGTCGAAATCTTTTCGTTAACGGCTCAACGGCAGTCATTCAGATCAATCATAATAATTTCATCTTAAATTATATTAATAATTCGTTTCATTCGAAACTACTCGTGTCCAAGATTACTAGGACTGAATACTAACCTACTACTTTTGTTATTCAAATAGTTGCTTCTATAATGCTAATAATTTACATTTTTAGTATACAATAATTATGCAAATCTTAACATTTATCTTAAAATTTTCCTACAGTTTTGTTTTTTGTAGCGAATGTTATTCAATATTAATTATTGTAGCAAAAAATAGCAAGAATTAAAATGCTTATACATAGGTACTTAAAATTAAGTCTATTTTAATCAATCTAGACGTCTTATTGACTTATTACTTATCGATATCGACTAAATCAACAAAGTAACATCACTAATTATCTATTTAAAACATAGAACACACGAAAGATGCTCCGTTGATACGGCTTAATTAAGTAATACCCTACCCGCCGTATTGAAATCGTAAAGCGAACAGTGGAAAGCCATCCGCAATAAAGGCTACGTAATAAAACGTGGATATCAGTTGCTGCTCGTTGCAGTGCAGTGCAACGTTCACGTTCAGTTAGGTATATACTTGTAATTCCTATTGTATTGCAACTTTTTTAAACGATGGTACACTAAACTAGTCATAGTTATACTCAAGCTATAATAAACCGACATATAAGCCTATATTCAAAAGTAAACATTATGATTATATTCTGAAGGAACAAAATGAATGTTAACTGCCTACTGTTGTTATATGCAATATATACTAGTATATTATATGTAGTGGTTTATATTACGTATATATTATTGTTATGTTAGCACATTCGTATTGACATATTTATACAAGTTAAGTAAAAACCAAAAGTATGTTTATTCTAACTGTTGGGTGGTGCTGATCTTTATAGTTTCATTTCTATAGGAAGAAAATGGTAATGAGTAGGGAGACTACGATGCACCCGAGGACCAACTCTTAGCTAATGGATACGATTTAAGTCTAAACTCACCATTAGGAGTTTTTAATTTCGATCCCTGCTGTAATGATATAAGGATCAATCACTGCTGTTGATGACAATGACGAACTCTACGAATCTACTATGTTTGGTTTTTATTAATTTCGAAAAATTATTACTTGGTTTTTGTGGAACTATGAATCAACTTGGGTTGCAACGTTGTCAAGGTTCATAATAAATTCTTGTTTAGTGCAGGTTTAATATAGAATTATAGATATTGCCTATAATTATAGATATGTATTTGTGCTCCTACGGTATCTATATAAGTGCTTACTAAACAGATTCTATAAAGTTCACATATAATTTAACTATCTAGCTGAGATTTAGTTTAAAATTTTTGTGTACTAATTCTTTGTATAATATTGTATTCAATATGCCTATATGTGAATAATTGTATAATTGTTACCAAATAAATGAATTCAATTTCACATGCAATAAAGACAAATGTCTGTTTAAATGTTAAGTGCAAACAAAAAGACGGGCATACTGCAATACCACATACGAGACTAAAAGCGTGACGAACTGTGTCCAAGTGTCCATAGAGCGTTGAATAGCTTTTTTATTGTCTACACGGTTCTCTCCGGCACAAAGGGAAGCCATAAAAGCCCTAAGTGTCCACGATGCGACCTTCTGTCCCGCGCTTTATGGTCGCTAGTGATGTGCCACCTCGATTATATTTCTAATCCTTGTTTATGGTACTCGATTCACGGCTATGATTGACCATTGTTTTTTTTTATTGATAATATCTAATCGTGTAAAGAAGCAAAACTGTACAGCCTTCGCTTGTTAGTTGTATGATTCGTAGGGTTGTACGAAATGTAACGAATAAATTGTGATTGGATTTGGAGATGTTCCTTCGGAAGTAAAAACTACAGTATCTTGACGTTATTATTGTATTGCATTTAGGTTTAGATAAATGATTGTACAGAGCCCTATAGCTATATAGTTTATTCAAACATCTTTTGCAACCCGCGTGCGTGAGTGAATTGTCGTGAATATAATATATTCGTATAAACATAATCTGAGACTAGTGTCGCGAAATCTTTAATGTTGATGGGGGTCATGAGCCATGATTTCACTGAAGAGAAATAACTTTCAAAACTTGTTTCACTAGATTCTCATTAGTCTAGCAATTATCACTTCCCATAGTCGCAGGTTCGATTTATCGCACGATACAAACATTTGTATTAATAAGTATGATTGGTTGTATTGGTCAGGTGCTTTCTATGTATATTAGGTACCTATGTGTTTATAACAAAATATATTTACGTATTTCTATCGGTTCTCTAGTAGATAACCATAGCTCTGCCTAATTTGGGACTAAATGATGAAGTGTAAATTGTCCTGGATTATTATTTTTTTTTTTTTATTTATTATATCCCACTTACTAATGTAAAGAAGGCTTTATGTTATGATATACTCCTTGTATAAAACTTTAATTTTTCTTCGAATTAATACAGCTTTTAACGTTACTTCACAACTATATGACGCAATGTTTATTTACAGTACCACTGTTATAACAATCTCGGTAAATGTAAATAAAGTGTCAGTTAACAATGAGACGTTAAATATTTACTGTATTGTTTAGTAAGAAAGCATTACTGGTTGTTGTGTGGTAGTATGGTATAACTATACCATACTACCTATATTACTACGAAGACATTACAGAATAAGAGGCATGACATCTTTGTCCTCTGGAATGGTGGCAACGCAACAGTGCTATTACGGGGGTCATATGATGTCCGTAGTCCTATTAATGTATATAGGCGATAGTTACTGCTGCCCTTCATCAGCTTATTTACCATTCAAATTATCTGTATAATATATATAGGTATATATTAAAAATATAGATGTACCTACTAATAAATACAATGACCAGTGATTACTACAAATATAAATGCGACACCGGTGCTGTCTATCTGTGCATTTATAACTTTTCACGGACTAACCGGTTGAACTGATCATAATGAAATTGTATGCTAAGATGGATTTTTTTTATAAAATTATATAATTTTATAAAAAATAAATGCATAAAGCTCACGATGAGTATTACAGTATAATACCATTGCACTTGATTGCATTGCTTTTATAATGTATACATATATGTAGATTGTATCCCGAGGACGGACATAGGCTATCTTTTATCTCATAAGAAGCAGACGTATCCACGGGAAATAGCTAGTAATTTATATGTCAATATATACTAAATTCACAAAGCCATGAGTACGTTACGTACGTTTTAGTGTGTAATAATATATGTACTAAAGATTTTCTTTTTCCTTTCAGCGGTGTCCCTCGAAACCTTAGTGGAAAACTGTCACAAACTTTTGGAGAAGTTCCACTATTCGTGGGAAATGATGCCCCTAGTCCTCGTCATCCTGAATTACGCGGGAAGCGACCTGGACGAAGCGTCGAGGAAAATTGATGAAGGTAGGTGCACAATTACATATAAAACATATTTATGTATATATAGTTATGTCCTTTTGCGAGGCGATTGTACTACGAGATTTTTGGAGTAGTGGTAATTTTTGCCACAATTCCAGGCATCGTGACGTGCTATCGCGAATTTATTGGCAAAATTATTTTCTCTATTTTCTATAGTTTCTTTTTTTTACGCATTTGTCTGTGGACTGTATGCATAGGGTATATAGTAGAAATATAAATAGTTTTTATTGAAATAAACTTAATATCACTTTTGATCCATTCGGAAAACAGACTTATGACAAGAAGATCGCAAAAGAAACTTACGTTGTTAGTCTTTTAAATAAATATTGTTCAGTTCATATTTAAGATTTTGAATAACAAAATAGCAATAATACATAGCAAAATAGCAAGAGAATATGTAGTTAGGCCGCCTTGTTAATGTGGACAATAGATAATCCGAAGATTTACTTACGTGTTTGTTGACGGGAGATAACGACATAAGACTTTCACATAACATTTGGCTTCAATTTGATATATACATACGACTTTTTCACATGTATATGTCAAATACAGTTAATATCAGAACAATGACTAAAATTATTAATTAATAAAGTTACGATACCTATAATATCCACCCATCTTTCACAATGAAACGGAAATCATAATTGTAACGAGCCATCAATTCGAACTTCTAGCAGTGTCCTCATACTAAAGTCGAATCCTTCAAGCAGGAGTTAGCTTTCAATCGGCTCCTTAAGTCTTTCCGCTGATCTAAAGTACCCTCCGCGCTCACGTTCGTTTGTCCAGTGAGGAGGTAAAATCCAGCGGCATTAGAATATTGCCATAAAAACATAGTAATTGCTTGTTATGTTCGTAATATACATTTCATAGACAACTTATACGTTTTTGCATAAATCTATCATATCGTTAAATTAGATCATTGCTCGGTTTTTGGATGCGTGTAGAAAATAATTTTGCCATAACAATTTCACTTTAAAAATCTAATCTACCATATAGTAAATTGAAACAGTTGATTACAGCTGCTTATCAGAATTGTAAAATATAACAATAGATAAATAATATAACACATTTTATAAAAAAATATGTTTATTTAGGTATTTCTCAGTAAATTTTCTTAAAATTCTCAGAATAAAATTTTTATAAATGAATTTACGATTGGTAATCAATATATTAGCTAATATTAATATTAAAAAAAAGATTGGTAACATTTAAATTTTAATAAAAACATTAAGTTATATATATAAATGATCATCATCATCATCATCGCAGCCCAGAAGACGTCCACTGCTGGACATAGGCATGAATGATACTTATAAGCTATTTTCTGAATTATAATAACAAACATTGCAATTTAATCAGTAATCAACTGTTTTAATTATTACATGTATTATTTTAGTAGCTTTTGGAAATAAAAAAATAATGATTTATATTAAAACTTAAATTTAATCTAACTCGGATATCATTTTAGGAAACTTTTATTGTGTTGGCTATTGGATTAATTTTGATGTATTGAATGATTTTCAGTAATAGTACCTAGTAAGCAGAAGATTTTTTTTTATTTCCACATCTCTTACTCTTATTATTGTATTTTTTTATAAGTATTTAATGGAAATCTTTTGTTAACAGTTGTTTGTTAATGATTAATCAGATGCCTTTCAATCTCGTAAGTGTCTAGCATAGTTTTAATACATTTTTTGTATATAGGTATATATATTCTTTATTGCTCTTTAAATACAAATATTTAAGTATTGTATAAAAATAAAAATAGTACATATTTCTATAGTCCTGTTAACTACTGGCTTCGAAGTAAATTTATATATCTACTTATATATAGGTACATACGTACCTATGTGTAAGAATATACAATAAATTATATCGAGGTAGTAATTATTGATATTACCTTAAAAATAAATATAAGTTAAATATTAACAAATATAATAAAAAATCTTAATATATTTTGAAAAAAAAAATCAAATTTTTATCTTTGTAAATTTATTTTTGTCTATTCTCTTATATTTGTTTTCTATAGACTTACTTTTTATATATATTTTTTTAAATTCTATTTTATAAATGTATTAATCTAATTTTTATACAACATAAGTACTGGCATTCTGTAATAAATACTGAACAAGAGATATTCATTACTTTATTTGTAACTATATTAAAAATGCATATTGTTGATTAAACTTAGTACTAGAGCCATAGACAATAAATTGCATATGAGCGTTATGATTGCAACTTGTTAATTAGTACCTACGTCTAATGTTTTTATTTCTTTCCATTGATAATAATTCATTGACAATAATTGATACAGAACTCATTTATATTAATATATGCATTAAGTACATACCTATATCTTTCTTCTAGATTAAAACAGACGTATTTTGTTATAAACTATCTAAAATGCAATTAAATTTTATTTCTATAGGAAGTACGAATAATGAATGTTCAATTTATGACATAAAACATAAATATGTATCTATTTTACATATATTGTTAACTTATAATTAGTATAATGACTAATTAACTGTAAAATTTAATTTTCTAAGAATAATAAAGATCGAAGTTTTTTTAATACAGCGTTACGTACACTATTTTATTGGTATAATACACTATAAATAATTAAATAGAATTATTTGAGTTATATTTAAGATGTGAACTATTATCGTTACTACAATGCAATCAACAACAATAGTAGAGAAAATGTCATTGACACACGATAATAATAATAATAACAATAATTTCTCTCCCTGGGGCCCTGAACCCCGGCCGACTATGCTTCTACCGGGGGTATGTTGCCATCTCCTCTCCTTAAGAGGGGAGATGAGAATAATTGGAAAAAAAAATAATAATATTTATTCATGATACACATTCACATTTTAATTTACTGTAGTTCTACACTAGGCTCGCAGGCCTGTATTGTAGAGACTGGAGTGACTTATTATTGTGTACATTTTACATGTTTACCCTTTATATTAATAGCTATTTGAAAAATGGAACTTGTGTGTAAAATGTAGGGAATAAAAACAATAACGATGATTCTATATACTAGAAATAGCAGAAATTTATGTAACTCACATATATGCAAAATAAAATCTTTCATATAAACTTCACAATTACGTATCGACTTAGTAAAAGTTTGTTAGTGAAAGATTAGTTTAATTATTAAATTAACCTTTCACTAAGAAATTTTCAAGAAATTAGTTTAGTTAATCAAATTTCCGATTAGTTTAGTTAATTACAGGTTACATTAGGTTCGTTATGCAAAGTTGATCAATATATACTATCTTTTATGTATTTAGTTTAGGGGTTACAATGTATAACATGAATTTAAATAAGATACATCACAAATAAACCTAACCCAGCAAAAAATACCGCTTTTCAGTTTTATAAAATTAAACCCTACAGTTCTTATTACTTCATTTCATATAAAATATTTAGACAAACTAAAAATTAGTATTGTAGCTATTGAAGTTGTTATAAATAGTTTTTATAACAACAAAACATGTTGCGTCGGTACACGCGTATATATATTCTACATTCTTATACTTTAAAGTAACTCTATACAATCCTCCATCATTATGGGTAGTACTGAAATAACCTATTTAATAACATTATATAGGTATTTTACAATATATCGAAAATATAGTAGTTCTTTGAAACTGTAATAGACATATTATTAAACAATAGGTATTAATAAAGAAATTGGTTTATAGATATCTTTGATAGAGAAACAATTTGCAATTGTAACTGCTAGTAATGACAATATATCGCACTCCTGACAATAAAAATAATTAATAAAAAAAATAAAGTGTTGCAAATTCGACCATAATTTAAGATTCCAAAGATTATTTTCCAAAAATTAAATGAATAATTAATAATAAACATTATTATTAAGCGTGCGATGTATAGGTTATGTTCCATTAATATGCATTTTTACCATATTTTCTTGCTTTGCGAGTGTTTTTGTTTATTGTTCACAGGAAAAATGATCATCAACGAGTACGCGAGGAAGCACAACCTTAACATCTTCGATGGTCTCGAATTAAGGAACTCGACTCGCCAGTACGGACTTTAATAGTAATATAGTTTTTCCAAAACACAAACACACATACACATACTGAACATACATTTATTATTAAGTTAACACATTAACTACTATCTGTCTATCATTATTACTATCTATTCATTATCGTTATCATCTGGTTAATATATTTTGAAAATGGAACATTTTAGAAAAGGATAAAGGATTTTATTTTAAAGATTTATTATATTTTTATATTAAACATTTAACTAATGAATTACTATGTGGTGTTGGAAAGGGTAAAACAATTAAAAATTTGGAAAACTCAAACTTTTTCCCAAATATAATTATGGTTGAACCAAGAATTAGTTAATAATGCTTGTATATAATGAACATTAAAGTAATCGTGCAGTTGAAAATGTAAAACAAAAACAAAAATCAATTTTTGTGGAAGTTATTCGGTTTTGTGAATTAATATTTTTATTAATCTATATATCCTCAAATAATTGTAAACAGACTGTTTCGTTAATGCTATTACTGAGTTTCGAATTGTCATACCCATCACTAATCTTGTATATCATTTATTTAGAATCAGTAGTTGATTATATCCATAACTAAATTATTAACCTAATAATAAGTAGCCCTCTTAATAAGAGTTGCAACATCGCTATCTGTTGTCAAATTATTATTAATTACAGTCTGATCCGGCAAACTTTGTTCTGCCATATAAATATATCTCTCTCTATAGGGATCCTTATCACCTAGGGTTATAAATAATGGTCTACGATCTTTTTTAGAACATCAACACACATCAAAAGCTGTAGTAGTTTAATAACAAACACGGACGCGAGATTTTTATATATACCTACTATCCTATATAGTACATAAATATCTCGTGTCACAAGAAAGTTATTTTATATATTTTTTGATATTATACCAATGCCGTAGATCTTACAAATAAAAAAACAATAGTTTCTTAAACAGCTTATATATTATGATAACAAAGTTAGCGCCAATATCTGTATTGCTTCCTAGGTCCGGTCGCCACATGTGTAGCGAATCAGCTGTTTTACTTTGGAAACTAATAATTTCAGTACAGTGAAATATTTCATATGGTTTCTTTTACTTCTCTAAAATAGATGTTACTATTAGTTTATTTAAATAAAATAATAATGTTGAAAGATAGATATATTGTAATTCTTACTAAGAAAAATCTCTTAAGTTGCTAGACGAAACTTATGTAGCTTAAATTTCGACTTTAATGTCGATGCAGTAAAATTACTAGAATGAAACGTTAGTTTTCAGCGTGTTACCGCCTGTAAAATTGCCGCATTTATGCTATTGTACCATGTTTCTTACAAAAAAGTAAATATAGATATGATAATATGATATATATAAAAATTTCTATGTATAAATGTATCATATATAATGTAATTAAATGTAATAATCCATATTATATTATCAGATATATTATGGATAGTTTTTTTGAATAATTCAAGTTCAATTTTCTACTTAAGGGCTACAAATATTTTCACGAAGAACTTTATTTGTACAATTAGTTATTATGATTTTGTTTTAAAAAAAACAAATTCTTTTGAATCTTTAATCGACAGATTTTCCTAAATTTATTTCGCATCACTATCTTGTAACATTCGATAATATTTATGATATTTTGCTGCATTTACATGTAAGTCGAACTGTAGTGCGAACTGCTTACATTTAATCGAATGGCATTACTAAAAATACGCTACAATAGTTTTTCAAAAAAGATTTTCCACTAAATTACTACCTAATTCCAGTTACTAAAAGCAGTCCGGACTATACATAAACTCACAAACGACTACCTATTTGGACTTAATTTCATATTTAGACAAACATATAGAAATAGATACACATATTTAAAGAACTGAATTTGCAACATTCTCAAAAACGAAACGAGTATACCTTATAAAATGTATTTTATTTTGCCTGATCAGTTTTAGTTGAATAAAATGGACACTTTTATATTTAATACTTGGTAATGTAAAATATATATCATTCGAGACATATTTTTCTATTAATTAATTTATTTATATAATAAATCAGAAAAACCTGTGCATATAGAAATTATGCAATTTAAATAGCTGTATTTAGTTGGGGAATATAATCAAAATATTTAAACAAAGTTAGAGTTAAAAATAATTACATATTATACTTGCAAAACTATTGAATTATTTAAAAACAAAATTCGAGTTAATTCCAATAATTTAATTTCTTTCATACTAAGTAACTTTTAATTCCTACTAAGTAATACTAAAGTCTCATTTTTTTATTATTAATGTTATAATTGTTCATTATTATACGTACTACAGAATAATAAAATCATCTTAAAGATAAATAAAAAATTCAAACCCGTACGCATCGTATTGCATCACAACACTTTCGTTTCACAGGCTATAAAGAAGAAGGCTATAATTTTTCTTTTTCAAATACATCTAATAGTTTCAGAGATTAGCTAGTTCACACAATCAACACATATCGGTATAGATGTTAGATTAGTTCCCGGAAATGTAGGATTTTTTGTTCAATTTTATCTCGTCTGACGGGCTCAGTCTATCGACGAGAGCAATCTCGGTGCATTTGTTACCGTCGCATAGTAAGAACTAAGTAATTTGTAACCCGTCTGCCATCCGCAATCAGGCTTGTCGAGTGGCCATTAATTTTTATGGAGCAATTATTAGAACATTCTGTTTGTTTGTATATCTGTTTGTGTATTTTGTGCGTAAAGTACCGAGGTGGGCTTTGTAAGTTGAGTTTCGGTTGATAGGCATGTCATCTTAGTACTCCAAAATGTCGTAATGTACGTAATACTGCTCATGTATGTAGTTGACATTTTCAACTTTCCATAAGGTGTTCTGTCAGGTTGTTTGCTTATCCAATTTTATAAATAAAAACGATTATCGAATTCAATTGCCATATTTGAAACATCGTTGCTCTGTAGTACCTAAATATTTAATTTAATGACAACATGAACACTATTGTGTAGATATTTCACGGCATGCAATTATTTTTTTATTTTTTTTAATAATAATCAAATTGGCATATGTCTTAGGACAAGCTGAGGTTCTGAAGCAGTAAAGTAGTAAATACAGGAACAAAATTAACACTATCAAAACAAAGGCTAAAAATAAAAATGGAATTGGGTACACGTCTGCGCTTATGCTATAACGCTGGCATGGCTGATGTTAGCATGAGCGACTTCATGCTCATCCTGGTCAGTTAGCATATCGTAGCGAATTGGCCAGGAATTAACTTAACGTTTGTATTCAGATCCATTTCCCCCAGATATTTCCTACTAGTATCGACATAGTAAACAACAATTGTTGGTACGTAATATTATTTCTAACTCTGAAGATATTGTGCACGATCTGCTTGCACTGTGATTAATGTCAGCTGTCACGGCGTGCGTACGCGCATCTCTTTTGTTGTTTGTCCGTCTGGCCGACGGCCAGTATTAACTAAAGTAGTCCATCGTAGCTCGAGCATGTCCATCTATTTACTCATCTGAAAAAATCGCAAAATTATATACTTCTTCTAAAGTACGTAAACTTTTTTTTAATGAATATATGTGAACATTGTCTACGATCACATAATTATGTTTTTTATTTATTACAAACAGAAAATACTTATTGAATTTATTTTTACAGTTTACAGTCGGTTTAATAAAGGAACGTTTTATTTTTATAATTTATAATAATATTATTGATATTAATTATTAAAAAATAAGTTACCAAAATACTATATGTATATGTTAATATATTTACGTATACATCGTAAAATATATTAATCTTCGGTCTTGTGAAAGGTATCATGAGTAAAATGTTTACCGGATCTTTATGAAATTTGGGGTGACGATAACCTACCCTGTTACCGTTTACCATCAGATGGACCGTATGCTACCGTCATGCTATATAAAAAAAGCTAGTACCTCGGGAACCGATAGTATCCTAGGTATAGTATTTATAGTCGTATTTTATCACATAAAAAGACATATCTCGCGGATAACATCTACTTGAATAAATTTAGTACTTCTGCTGTAAATCTTCCGTTATTAGAATTTAAAATTTAAAAAAAATACAATGCGTGTTACTCTTGTTGTAAGAATATATGGCGAAATCCATCACACAAACGGGTTTTTCTGATTTATATAGAAGTTTCTCGCATTAAATTTTACTTTTTGTATCAATTGTATTGACGCTGACATTTCTAAATATGGCGTTTGACTAGCATTCAATGCAATGTCTTTGTTGCAAACTCTTGAAATAAATATATAGCTATATTGTTTTCTATAATCGTGTATACCAATTACGAGTCAATCTAAACGACAATTATGCGGCTCCAACGCTTTTCCTGTTCGTCTTGATATTTAGTTTCAATAAATCGTAATTTTATAAATTTAAAGATTTTATATATTTATATTTTAAAAAATACATACATGCATTCAATTTCTGTTATAAAAAATTTACGTACGACTAATGATTATTTACGCATATACCTACTTATACTATTGATGAAATATGTATGTGAAACTACTTTTTGTTGCAATATTCATGTATTCTAGATAGCAATAATTAAGTATTCGACTTCTTTACCATGTTGCAAATTCATTTTCTCGTTTCATTAACAATTTACACTGTATGCTCTCACACAAACATAAACTTAGTTAATTTACACACAAAACAATATTCACACATATCGATAAAAGTGGCCAACTCAGCGAATCAATCGAATCAACACTGTTTAACCAGTCGTGATTTCCACTTTGCAGTGACCGGACGAAGGTGGAGAAATTCGAAATATAAAAAAAAGTATTGCATATTAGTGACGTTCGAAATACAAATTTCGAAGAGTCGAGTCGAAACGCGCGGTCATTATAGTGTTGTGCTAGTGTGTGTTATCGATATTATTTTATTTAGTGTTATTTTCTTTTTTGTAGGAAAATGCTGCAAAGCGAAATTAATAATATAAGTGGTGTACTATCATCGTCGATGAAGTTGTTTTGCGAATGATACTTTGTTTTACAAGTGCGTTGTTTTGTGTGGACGCATGCTGTGCGCCGCTGTGTGTTGCGAATACCGTCGGACAATACTGTGCTTGCTACACTGGACAATTAGGTAAGTTTTTTTACATATATATTTATTTTAATGTACCTATACAATACAATTAAAAAATCAAATATTAAACCGTAAGGTAATATATTAATGACATCAATATTGAATTATAGTCGTATATGTATAGCAAACTGAAACACTGTGATAGTTTTCATAGTAAATACTAAACATCTTTCCAAAAATGTTTAATTAACATTGTACGGTTACCGCCTTTGAAAGCTTTAATCGTATTGTATAATATCAGTACTATTGTATAAATTTAAATTAGACATTAATGATTTAGGTTTAATGGATAATTTCAAATGAATATTTAAATAAAATTACATAAATTTTACTTGAATATTTGACATATTTCATATTTATAGGTACTTATTTACTTTATGTATACCTAATATTTCGGATTTGCAATGCGATTAGTTCGGTTTATAAATTTTGACGGAATATATTCGATTATAATTGCATTCATTTGACATGATTAAGGTATAAAATTATTATGCGTCATAAATTTACAAGGTTGAATCGTAACCATAAATTATAATTGTATACACGTAGTAGTAAAATTGTATGCAGCAATTTGTACGATATCTATTGGAATATATTAACTTATAAAAAAATATAATAAACGTATAGTTACTAAGTAAAACTTTGACCAAGTAATACTGATATATAAAAAATATTAATTACAATATAAATATCGATATATTCGTACTCATCCCCTCATTACAACGATGAGTGCGAGAGACGAAATTTGAACGAGAGAACGAGAGAATTGAATATTTAATGCAAGATCCACACAAATATTGAACGTTAATTATCGTTTATAAGTAGAGAAACTATGTATTATCATTGAAGTGGATAAGCCTTTACATTCTGATCAAAGGGGAAACATTATCTTAATTAAACTAAACTATTATCTATATATGACAATATTAATTATAAGATAACAAATATTCATCTGTTTATGTAACGCCTGACAGTGAAACTTTGACTCTACTGCGCTATTTTTTATTATTATTATTTTGTCTATTGTATTATTTAAACACCTATGTATAACATTATTATCATATGCAAACGATAGAAACAGACGGAAACGTAGGGCTTCTTTGTCTATGGTTTGGTGGAATTCTAATGTTCCCCTTGTGTCCGAATAAATGAATAAAAGGTGAAATTTCGCTCGTTACACAGAATGAGGCAGTATGTATAATAGATTTATTTGTTACTTTATTTAGTACCTTTATTTCCTTATGGGTTGGACAGACAGAAAACGAATATGTATTCAATACTCTTACTTGTATATCTTCTTATATATAAAATTATCGTATCATAATGTTAGTTACATTACCCCTCCGAAATGGCTTGACGGGCTTATGAAATTTTATATGCATATTCAGTAGGTCTGAAAATCGGCTACTATCTACTTTTCATACCCCTAAATAATAAGGGCTGTCCCTCTCTAATATTTATTTTTATTTTATGGACAATTTTTTTATCATTTTATAATGTAGCATTCATACAACCCTAAATGTTTACCCTTCTAACACTAAAACCTATTTTTAATAGGGTTTTTAATATATATGACAAAACAACGTTTGCAGCGTCAGCTGTAGTCTGTTTTTTAATCCCGGAGACTAAATTGACAGTGTAAATGTCTAATTTTCAAATAATGTTACCATCTATAGCGGGGTAGTGCTGTACTTATATACATATAACATCTTTTACTTTTCTTAAAGATACCTGTCTACTCTAGGTTAGGTTAGTTTTATTTGCAACTTCTGCAGAAAACCTATCAATATAAGCCGAGGTTTATCACTGTTGCATTTGTATTATTATAGTTTAGGACCTCAGCTATAACCGCGAGTCGTTTACAGTTTTATAATATGCAATTAGGGATTGTAAAAATGTTAAATGGATTCCCGTAATGGCGCGCGTTGTAAAAGGCGCCCGTGTCGTAATGAGTGGAGTATAGGAATATTGCATTTATTCCCCGATTCCAAGAAATGCAATAACACTTTTGCAATTATGTTATGGTTGTGTTTTATATGTGCTGTTCACTTGTTAGGGATTTGTAAAATTGACGCCATCTTTAATTTTTCGGTACATTTTAAATGTATAATAGATACTGCAAATTTGATTTTATCTACTACTTGCCTCACCACGGTTCAGCCTAGTGCTCATTATTTTGTGAGATCTTGTAAAAAAATGTGGAGTTCTCTTTGTAATATAATATCTTCTTTGTCGATTCCTCTAGGCTGTGAGTCGTGACCACCAGGAATGATTCTTTTAACTAAAAGACTTCACTACAATAAAACTCTCCAGGCATCTCTACTCTGTGTCAAGTGGACCGCCGATTGCATATTTGTAATATATAATAGAAATATTAATTGATAGTATAAACATTGTACGTTTTGTACCGATAAATGCATATATACTGTAATATATAATGGTTCACCCGCAGCAGAATGCCCACCCCCGCAAATGCCCGCTCATGCTCGAGGCCCGAACCCAGCGGTGCATTATGGCCTGCGGAAGACTAGAAGAAGAAAGGCACCACGCGCCTCTCAATTAGCTGGGTATATATTGAATCAAACGTGGTAGGGAACAAGCCTCTTATCTTCTTATATTTAATTTGTCATTGGGAGTCAGAAATATAGACATATAAACTTTTTGTGGTCTATCACACAGACTAGTAAACTAGTAGATAAATAAACCAAGAAATCTATTAATTTTTTTGTAATGTCTATATACGTCTAATAAATTACAATTTTTCAAACATTTTTACTATTTTACTTTAAACCAAAATATTAAAATTGTATGAGAGATAATGAATGACGGTAGATCCTCATATTCATAAGTGTCTGTTTCTTATGACTTTTAAAATAAAATATAGCCTATGTCGGTCTTCATGATATAATCTATCTTCACGTAAAATTTTAATAAAATCCGTTCAGCCGTTTAGTCGTGAAAATGTAACAAATAGTCTCACGTAATTACACTTTCGCTATGGATAAGCCTCTGGTCTTAAATGTGTTCATACGGCCGGTGGTCTCATACCATCAAGCGTAAATAAAACGTATAATTAATTGCATTTAACAGAGTGTTTGTATTATTCAATTATCATGCGAACATAAACAGATTATTATCTAGGGTCAAAAAGTTAAATAATTAATTACATATAGATAAGTATTAATAAAGTCTGGTAACAGCATATTGCAAGAATTGTTATGATGTAGATATCATATTACAATTCTCGGTTCATATATTTTTTATCACGATTTAAAAATATGTATTCAAATCTGTAGTAAATAAGACAACTTTATATCTTCTTCTTTGCACTATCCCATTTTATGTGAGGCCCTAATTTTGATCCGCAAGGTCAATATGTTCCTCATGTGGATTCCAGCTGTCCTAATTTTAGGTTATCGGGTCGGGTAATCTTTCCGTCGCGATGACATTTCTCATGCTGGTCCACCAAGTACCTGAAGAACGTCCTCTACTTCTATTATGTTTTTGGGCAGTTGTAAAGCTTTTAATCGCATATTCCTTGTATCTTCCCATTACATGACCATATCTTCTGAAACGGCTTTTGGTGACTCTACTAGTCACTAAATAAGACTAGTAGATAAGTGAATAAGTATTTTATATATATTGTGTATGTATTTATAATATATATAAAAAAATTAACTATGTAACTATCAGTTGTCTACCACTCATAATAGAAGCAGAAAACTAAGCAATAGTTTGGGACTAGATAGTGCCTTGAGAATTGTCCCAAGCTATTATTACTAATACACCGTATAAAAGCAAATACACTGAATATGGTTGCACTATTTTTTCCTATATTCATTGCTGCAATTTAAAGTCGAGCCATGCAAATATGGCTGTAAAAGCTCCCGAGCTCATTTTCAATTACGGACAGTCGTCGTAAAAATTTAAAATGCGATATCTGCCAATAGTGTTCGTTCTGGCAACATTGCTGTGCGTTATAATTTCTTTTCTGCCCATTTTATAACCGCAAAACAGATTACCCGTATCCCCTATGTGTTAGAAATCTATTCTAGACTAGGTCTCGATTCGTATATACTTCGTTATCAAGTTATAGTTTGTATGGAATAGGAGTAAGGTTGATATTCGCTTGTAGGATTGTAAAATTTAATATTTTTATAGCGCTTTTTCGTTTCACTGTTTCAATGTTGACTGCGGTAGGTCCCGGTAGCAGGATGTGGTTGTTTTCAGTGTTGTAATATTTATATGTTTGTGTTCATGCTGGTAGGATTTGTAGGATTCGCATGGATGGATCATGCCACCGTTACCTATAGATAAGATGATAACATACTGACTAGTCGCCATTATAACTATTTTCCGTATGTAATATATGATGTCATTGGATTCTTTGGTTTTTATTGTTACCTAGCAAATTTATTTGCACAAAACTATTTATCATTAGAGAGAAAAAAAAAAGATAATTCCAAAGCGGAATAGCACGTAATGAAAGTAATAATATAAATGAAAGAATTAATAAAAGCACGGACCTTAAGACTGTGCATTTTCGGGATTAAATAAAAAAAAAACAACTCTTAGGAGATACGGTATCAATTATTATTATTATTATTATATTATTATAATCAATCACGGGTAAAACTACGGAAATTTTCTAGTATGTAAACTGTTATTGAAAACGTATAAAGTGTGTTATGGCTACAGCAACAGTGCTAATCTCCGTCGCAGCATCTAGTGGCTCGTTATCTCCAATGACTTCATCTGACACGTGAAATGATCAGCAATAACAATAATGACAACCCAAGACCATGCACACAGCGCCATCTAGTCTTAAGATAAGCAGATTTTGTATTATTGGTACTAGATAAGTTACACATTTTTTATACTTAATCACATTTATA